CGGACGGGTAGAGCTAGAGCAGCAGAGAGAGAGAGACAGAGAGGGAGGAACAAAGAGAGAGGAACAGAGAGGTCCAGTCTGGTCTGGTTGGTCACCGGCTGCGTTCCTGCCTTCCTGCCTTCCTCCTGTCAAAAGCAGGCCTCTTCCCACCCGACTTTGCGCCTCTCCTTTAACTTCTATTCTTCCCATAACCCTTTTTGTCGCCGTACATCATCAATTCTTGCAAAATGGCGTCTCGTCCCCAGAACATCGGCATCAAGGCCATTGAGATCTACTTTCCTAGCCAGGTACGTTGCTTTTCTCGTGGCTGCGGCTGTGCCCCTCTTCCGTGAAGAGAAAAGAAAGAAGGGGAAAGGGGGGGGGAGAGAAAAAGTCGAGCATGCCACATCCAAAACAATGCAAGTTGCCCCTCCGCCGTCGGCCTCGCTAACCTACCCATCATTTCGTTTCCACGTCTACAGTATGTCGAGCAAAGCGAACTCGAGAAGTTTGACGGCGTCGGTGCCGGGAAATACACCATTGGCCTCGGCCAGACCCAGATGAGCTTCTGTGACGATCGTGAGGGTGAGTAAAGTGGCCCTGCCATGTGCAGTGCCGTGCCGTGCCTCTCGCTCCTTTTTGTAGTCTTCTCGTGTGTCTCCGACGTGAACACGACGAATTGATTCCATGTCGGCCATTTCGCGGTTGAATCATGTTTATTTGCTGGAGCAGTGCGCTGACATTGTCTTCTCTTGTGTAAACAGACATCTACTCCTTGGCCCTCACTGTTACCTCGAACTTGCTCAAGAAAAACAACATCGACGTCAATTCAGTCGGTCGTCTCGAGGTCGGCACCGAGACCATGCTGGACAAGTCCAAGTCGGTCAAGTCGGTTCTGATGCAGCTTTTTGGCGACAACACCAACTTGGAAGGCATTGACACCATCAACGCTTGTTACGGCGGAACCAATGCCGTCTTCAACAGCGTCAACTGGATTGAATCTTCTGCTTGGGACGGCCGTGATGCCATTGTTGTCGCCGGTGACATTGCTCTGTATGCCAAGGGCAATGCTCGTCCTACCGGCGGCGCTGGTGCTGTGGCTATTCTCATTGGACCTGACGCTCCCGTCGTCATGGAGCCGGGACTGCGAGGCACCTACATGCAGCATGCCTACGACTTCTACAAGCCGGACCTCACCAGCGAGTATCCTTATGTTGATGGTCACTACTCCATCAACTGCTACACCAAGGCTCTCGATGCTGCCTATCGCGATTACTGCAAGCGCGAGGCCAAGGTCGCCAATGGCCATGCCAACGGCACCGATGCCAGCAAGACTCCGCTCGACCGCTTTGATTACCTTGCTTTCCACGCTCCTACGTGCAAGCTCGTGCAAAAGTCGTATGCTCGCTTGTTGTACCACGACTACCTTGCCAACGCTGACGCCCCTGCTTTCGCCGAGGTGGCTCCCGAGCTGCGCGATATGGATTATGAAAAGTCTCTGACCGACAAGCTCGTCGAGAAGACTTTCATGGGTCTCACCAAGAAGAAGTTCCAGGATCGTGTCCAGCCTGCTATCCAGGTTGCCACCATGTGCGGCAACATGTACTGCGCCAGCGTCTGGGGAGGTGTCGCCAGTCTGCTCTCACTTGTTGACCCCAAGGCTCTTGAGGGCAAGCGCATCGGCGTTTTCTCTTACGGCTCCGGATTGGCCGCTAGTTTCATGTCCTTCCGCGTCAATGGCAACGTTGAGTCCATTCATAAGAACCTGAACATTCCCGCCCGATTGAAGGCTCGCCGTGCCGTTTCTCCCGAGACTTACGATGCGGTAAGCTGATTTTTTTTTTTTTTTTTTTTTTTTTTTTTTTTGTTCTTCAAAAATACGCAGCCTGCTGACTTCATTTTCCCGCTTCTAGATGTGCGAGCTTCGTCACCAGGCTCATCTCAAGAAGGACTACACTCCCAAGGGCGACCCTTCTACCATTATCCCCGGCACCTACTACCTCGAAAAGGTTGACGACATGTTTAAGCGCGAGTACAAGGTCCAGGCATAAATCTTTGCCCCACGACAGAGACGACATGACGAAACGACAAGTAGTGAAATGGCCATACTGCTGTTACCACCACGTTTTCAATTGCACAAGGCGGGCCAATAAGAATCTCGTGTACATGTCGGCACGCCTCCGATCACAAAGTATTCTTTGGATCATGCAAGTGGTGACACGCGAACAGTCAAAACGGCTGTTTTGGTTTTTATTTTTATTTTATTTTTTCACGATTAAAACGTATCAGGGACGCGACAGGGCATGTGTGGCTTGGAATATGATTTGAACACCATGCAGCACATGGCAAAGCTCCTTTAATTGAGCTATGAGTGATTAGTGGCCTGAAAAAGAAGCTCACTTATTCTCATAGCTTGTGCAAATTCTTTATACATGAGGGAAGTTTTGGAACAAGGAAGGATGATGAAGTGGCAGAGTTGAGGAGAACAATTTTTATCTTGGGTCAAGCATCGTATAGAGCGAAGGACAACTGGACTTCTGTTTAGACTTTTCTTTTTTTATTGGCAATAAAGATGGGTAAAGAACAGGATAAAGATTAGAAGAAAGAAAATTGACAGCTCGACGATTTAATTTGACTCTTTTCTTTAATTGCGAACATTTGGGAAAGATTGCATCTCACGGTCAATCGTCTCAGTAGTCTATGTATATGGTATCATCTATTTCAGCAATATAGTACAAGAGGGGAGGAATGGGAATCACAAAAATCAAAAAATTGTACAAACCGTGGTGGGCTGACAAAGCGGGCCTCTCTCCTCTTCTCACATCATGACCTATCGCCTTTGTACTTCCACTCAGCACGGCGGTGCAAGAGGTAGTCCTTGCTCTTGATAGCCTGCCATATGCCGTAGAGCCCGCCGACAGGCCACTTGGTCTTGAGGGACTGATTGGCCAGTCTGCGCTGCTCCCGCGCGGCGTCGACGTCGATGCGGACCTTGTCGTGGACGGTGGGCAGGGTGGTGGCGTGGTATTTCTGGCGCAGGGCGTCGTACCAGGAGCGGTTGTTGTCGTAGACGCGCCAGAACTCGTCTTGGTCGTAGTAGGTGTGTGCGTAGAGCCACTTCCTGCCGCCGAGCTGGACCAGCTTGTCCTCCAGGGCGCGGTTCATGGAGACGAAGTCGTCGTGGCTGGAGGGGCCCCAGCCCCAGAGGCCGATGTTGAGGATGTCCTTGGGGACGGTGGTGGTGGTGGGGGCTGAGGGTGTGGACGAGCCATCTGGTGCGGACGCGGTGACTGTTTCCGTCTCGCCCGTGTAGGGGTGGAAGGTGGGCGGGAGGGTTTGCCTGAGGGGGCAGAGCCAGAGGGGCCAGATGTTGAAGGCGGCGGTGGTGTAGTTTACGAACTCTTCGGCCTTGGCGTAGGGGAGGCCCAGGTCCTGGACGACGAAGCGGGCTGACTCGCCCGAGGCGTGGAGGGCGCGGTACAGCATGCGGGTGTGCATGAAGTCGTCGAGGAGCCAGCGGGTGAAGCGGTTGAAGGGCATGTATTTGAAGTATGTCCAGCCCTGGGCGCCGACCCAGAAGCCGGCGCGGTCGTAGCGGAAGAGGTATTCCGCGAGCGGGATGTAGTCGACGACGACGGAGGAGGAGGAGGAGGAGGAGGAGGAGGAGGAGAGGACCTTGTCGTCGGTCTTTTCCTGGACGTGGAGGTAGAACCAAGGATCACGGGCATTGCTAAAGGTCTGGACTTGCACCCCGGGGGGTTTCTCATCCGTCATGGTCCCCGTGATAACGACGCCGTGGTCCTGGGAGAACAAGATGCCGTCGACGTAGTCGTTGTCCGGGTTGGCCGTCTCGGACCGCACCTTGTGCACGGCTTCGGCCACGCTCCGCGTGCGATGATAGGTCGTCCGCACAAACTTCTTGGCCTCAATCAAGCGCAGCTCCATCAGCGTCGTGACGCCCAGCGTGCCCACGGCCCCGGCGGCCCCGCGGAACAGATCGGCCCTCTCGTCCCGCGAAGCCGTCACCACGTCGCCGTTGCCCAGGACCATCTCGACCGAGTTGATGGTGTCGCTGAAGAAGCCGTGCCGGAACGAGCTGCTCTCGCCGGCGGTGCCCGCGTAGCCTCCCCCCGCGGTGATGCCGGGAAACTCCATCACGACGGGCGGCACGAGGCCGTGACGCAGCGTCGACTCGACGAGCCGGTCCATGGGCACGTTGGGCTCGACGAGCGCCGTGCGCCGCGCCCGGTCGATGCCCACGACGTTGCATAGCGGGCTGATGTCGACCACGCGCGCGCCGGCGGCCGGACGCGGTCGCGTGCTGTTGGTCGACCCGTGGAAGATGCGGTAGCTTTCCTTGTGCTCGAAGAAGCCGCGCACGGCGGCGGCGATCTTGCCCACGGCTTGCTTGTGGCGGTCCATGGGAGACGGTCTCGGGTGTTTGTCGCGACGGCTGGAAGGGTGCGGTGCCGTCAAAGGAAACGAAGCAAAAAGGGGGGGGGGGGGGGGGGGGGATGAAGGCCACGCACGTGGGTGGTGGGCTTGAGGTGGGTGTCGAGTGTGGCGCGATGCTGGCAATGGTTAGTGTGAAGTCGTGACCGTGGAGTCGCGACTGTGTCGCTGCGATGGATTACGCGGTCGCACAAGGAATCTGTAACCCCAAACGTAAGATCCCGCGGGCGATTGGCCATATTTTTTTGGCGCAGAAAAGCATGTCCCGTGACCGACATGAAATCCCTCCTCGTCCCTACCATTCTGACGGGATTTATTTCCATGTACAGGGTGTTGCCCATTTTATTGTAATTGCAAAAGTAAAGCAAGCGACTCGGAAAACGAGACCCGTTTCCAGGAAACCACTGACCTCCGTCTCAAATATACAAGCACAAGACTTGGGGTTTCCTTATCTTCACCACAGTCCCTCAAAAAAATGAGTCTTATTATATTAGATGAAACAACAAATGCGCGCAAAAAAATCCCATCTCCAACGCAAGTTGCGTTGTGAAAAGACAGAAACAAAGAAACTCCCCCGGAAAGGCTTGAACTTTCAACCTCCTGATTAACAGTCAGACGCGCTAGCCAATTGCGCCACGGAGGACTTGTTGCAAATCACGTCACTTATTGAGACCCATAAATGTATGGTACATGCTGTGGACGAAATGTGGAGCCCATGGAAGCGCTCTGTGGTGTGCCTTTTCACAAAGTTTCCAGGCCGTGATAGTATATTCACAAAAAGGAAAAAGAAAGGAAAAAAAGGAAAAATAAAGGAAAAAAGAATATTATCACGGAAGCTACCTTTTTTTTCTATTAATCGCGGCAGTGCTAGTTTCGTGCCGTGTGATGGGTCGTATGTTTGAAAATTGAGGACCACCCTAGGTCAACTCATTGTAGGCATGCAGCGCAGTATCAGGAATTAAGAGGCCATGCATAAAACCACTGTGGTACCAGTGTGCTAATAGTAAAAGCAAGTCTCCCTTTTTTATGATAGGACGGATTTTTTTTTCTTTTCCTTTTCCTAGGACGTGCATAAACGTTTATTGCCATCACTGGTGTGTTGATGGAGCTGCCTGTAATAAACACTTCATAGTACAATACCTACTATATAGATGGCGTCGAGTGCAAGTTACAAAATTCCGTGCCACGCGTGATTGCTTCATCGCCTAAATACACCCATACATAAACAAGAGGATCGTCCACGCATAAAAGGTCCCTAATGGACAACAGTGGTCGGTTTTAAAAGTACAGTCTGGTAGCTCAAAATCCACACATGCACCATTCATCCACCCCACCCTACAGCCTGGCGTTGGTCGGTATCCAAGCCTTGGTGTCGGCCACGGTGTTGACGACCCTCTCCCTAAATGCCTCGTCCGAGACATCGCACAGATCATCAAACTCCAGAACCGTCTCTCTCAGCGTCTTGGCAGAAACGGTCAACGCACTCGAGACGAGGCTCTGAGGATCCTCCACGGCCTGCTGCATGAAGCCCGCCCACGATGACATGCAGCGCTTTGCCTCGGCCAAGTTGTCCAGCACAAGCGCAAAGCAATGCGGCATGGCTTCGTACTCCTCAAACACCATGGTCACGCCGTCCCTCTGCAGCTTCTGCGCCAAAAAACGACCCTCGTACGCAAGTCGCTCCCAGCCGATGCAGAAATACACCGGCGGGAACCCGGCCCAGTCTCGTCTCATGACGGGGGACACGAGCGGGTGTGTCATCAGGTCGTCGGCCGCATACATAAACTTGCGTGGTGGATTGGCGGGCCAGACTGCGCATGGCTCGAGGCCTCTGCTGCCCAGGTCTCCTAGAGGTCCGAGGTAGTCGAATATTTCTGGAATTTTGCCATAGTACGGCTGCGAGCTATGAGCAAGATCCAGCCAGGGGGAGTTGCAGGCCGCGGCGGCGGGGATGGGAATTTCGCGCCTTTCGCCGTGCCACGCAATTTGTTCGCCCATGCGATTCAGCTCGACGATGACCTGCATCAAGGCCATGGTCAAGTTGCCTCCAGCACTAATTTTTTGTTTTGTTTTAGAAAAAAAGACATGTCAGAAGAAGTCTTCCTTCACCATGGCTTCGACTGTGCGCAGAGAGAAGGTTTGAGCCGACACAGCACGAAAGGGCGTGGAGAGTTGGGTAAAGTAGCAAGAAAAAAAAGGTCGAAGAAGAAACAGAAGCACTCACCTATCTCCTGCAATGACAATGTGTTCGGGCTTGACCGCATCGTGAAAGGATCCCGGCGGCGGATACAGCAACGTCAGATATGCCACCAGACAGTCCAAGAGCGATGCCGGAAAAGCGTTCTGCGGCACCAGCCTATATCGCACGGAAAACGCTCGACCACCCGTAAGCTTGGCCAGCCTCTTCACCACGGGGCGATGAGTAGAGGGATCCATAAACGCGTGTGCGCCCCCGTGGAGGTAGAGCATTGTCGTGGGCGCCTTCATTTCCGCGATAAGACGATCGTATTTGTCCCTGTCGGACATGGTGCTGGGCTGTGGCTCGTCAGCCCTGACATCGGCTCTATACCCCGTCCACTCGCCATAGACGGGAGCGAGGTCAGGCACATGGATCACGGGTGCGGGTACGTCGGGGTTGTTGAGCGCTTCGATGGCCTTGGCCAGGGCTGCTTTGACGGACTCGGACTCGGGCTCAGGCGGTGTTGGACTCGTGTATTTACTGATCCAGAGGCGCCCCTTGATGGGCAAGTCGGGCATGGTGCGGGCCTGGACCTGGGAGAAGGGCCTCGGTTTGTCGTCCTTGGGCGCAATATAGGTCCGTAAAAAGGCGACTGTCAATGCGCTGCGGAGGCTGTTGTATGGCGACGTCTCGGAGAGGTTGAGGGAGTGTGAGAGAGAGACTCGTGCGAGCAGGGGCAGATATGACAGGCCGAGCCAGAACAACGACGACACTGGCGGGCGTTTCGACTGCCCAGGCGCGTTCTGTTGGGTTGACGGCGAGGAGCTCATGTTGAAACTTGACACCGTGGACCTGTGATGATGTCAAGAGTCAAGACGCGGAACTCCATTCACGGCCCTGCTCGGATAAACCACAGCTGGGAAGGGGAACAGGCAGAGGCCGAGCTGGCAGGATCTTTGTCAGAAACAAATGAAACAATTCGATTCGTTTATATGGAGATTTTCAGAATTGGATGCAGGACACATCGTGCCATGTCCTGCATACATACGTACATATATACTTTTGAAGGGGAAAGAGGTTGGTCCCCGGCTTGCAAGGTCTCGGGGCCGAGCCACTTGCTCGCCTGCCCAGATAGGTCAGGGAGGTAGTAGGTACCTGCCTGCCTGACGAAACCACCACATGCAAGCACATATCAGACATCATGTTGAGTGTCGAGTGCCCAGGGCCCAGTGCCCAGTGCGCGGTCTAACAGCATTGGGTCTAGAATGAGCGCTTCCATGATCATGTCTAGTCTCGTCTGGCGGAAGTTGTCAGGAAGTTCGTCGGGTGACACCAGGCGGATGTGGATGTGGCGTTAGCTGGTCCATGGCAGACAAGCTTTCACGAGCACTGAGCCCCGCCTCGCACAGCCGCCACGATCCAAGATGCCGAGGCTACGAGGTCAACGGACTCAAGGCTCGGTACCCAGTACCTCCTGTACACCAAGTCCAGATGAACATATATGAGTCTGTCGCCATCATGGTCTGTATTGGCAGACGTAGATAGGGTGACTTGTCAGATATTTTTCGCTGGTTTTACGTAAACTACCAAGCGAGCAGTGGCGAACATATCCGGCGTGACACTATATGCAACTCAGGCAGAGCCCGGAGGGTGGTTTCTCTCCCCTGCTCCAGTCAATTACAATCATCAACGCATGGCTCTTCTCGCATGCTTTCGAGCGCATCAAAAATTTTGCATGTGCAAATGATAGTACGCCCCTGTCAAGTTTCCAATCCATTACGGTACTACCTGTTTCGCAAAGAACCCCCTTCACACCAAAAAATACAATGTGCTTGCAATGTCGTTCCACAGCACCAAGGAGGAGGGATAATTGTTCCTCCCGCCCACCAGCTCAGCGACCGCCTTCACGGAAATCCTCACTCGTCGTCGAGGATTTTCTCGACCACATTCTCCCTCTTGTTCTACGCACCCTTGGCCGGACATTATTGCCTCGTCTCGCAACCAGCCTGTGTACGAGTCGCCGTGTCGCTAAATTTGCTTCATCTGAATCATGTACTTCCATCTCATCTGAATCATCCGGCAGCGGCTGCTAGCCTCCTCCGCTCTCGGCGTCCTTGACAGCAGAGTTCGAACTTGACGCCGCGGCCGCCATTTGCCATGCAGGAATGGACGCCCTCGTAGCGGACCCCCCATTCGAGAAGGAAGAGGGTCTGTTGACAATGCCCGATGCAGTACCTTTATTCGCTTCAACAGACGTCGACGATGTGTTGGCGGAGCTCTCGGCAACGGGCTCCACCGTCGGTACAGTTGGTGTAGCAGAACGGCTGCTGGCCAGAGGGGCTCCGCTTGGGCGGGCATGGTTGTTGGTTGTGACGGATGAGGAGCCTGGAGCTAGTCTCTGCGATATGAGTGTCTTCAAGCTCGTTAGTTCGGAATTAATCTCGGACAGTCTGCTATCTATGAGACTCTTTTGGTTATCCATGGCCTTGGGGATCGCGAGCTTCAGAGTCTGCACTTCATCACGGATGCGCTGGGCGTCATCCTCTCTGCGGCGATTGGCAGACTTGAGATCAGCCATGACAGTCTCAAGTTCAACGATAGTTGAGTCTAATCTCTCAGTCCTCTGCTGCTCAGCATTCTTGAGAGCTTCCGTATCCTTGACGACTTGTTCTACCAGAGCAAAGGCTCTGTCAAACTGTTCCTCGATCGACTTCTTGTCCTGCTCCAGTCTATCGGGAGTTGGTGGTGCTATCAGAGGGTACAAATAGCGCTATTTTACACAGATTAGCACAACCAAAGTCAAGTCTTTGGCGGGTATGGAAAGCTTCGAGGGGTAAGAAGTACTTTGCTCAGCGAGTACAGGCCATAACTGACTCCGCTGACGACAGTAGCCATGATGAACCAGTCTCGCCAGTCTCTGCGAGGAGCTGGCGAAGGCAGGGGCTGCCATGCTTGCTGTGCATGCGGCGAATAGTATTGCTGAGGAGGTCCCGAAGGAGGAAGAGGAGGAGGGGGGTTATACTGCGCGTTTGAAGGCGCTGGGCCACCAACACGTGCGAGGGCCACGCCGATCTCTTCTTCAGTCAGGTTTTTGGATCGAAGGAACGAAATTTTGTTTTCAATAGTAGACGAGGCAACGGAGGGATCCTGTAAAACTGTCGCGATGTGTTAGCGGAATCTAGAACACTAAGGACGCGCATCTCGTGCTGCCATCGACATTGACTGACATTGTGCCTGAGATGCAAGTTAGCTAACTTGTCGCAGGACGTGGATGGAGAGGAAACCAAGGTACTTACGGCCGAGGCCACCAGATCCTCGCGAATCGCCATCAAGAAAGCAAGGCTTGCCGTCAATCTTCACAAGACAGCATCACCAAGCAGGATTGAATGTTCATGGACTTGAAGCGTATGCCCGTCTGCTGGGAGTATCGGGATGAGTGGAAGAGGACCTGCAAAGCCGACATG